TATTATTAGCAACTAGCCAAGTGTTAGGCCCGCTGCAAATAAGTAGTATTAGCAATGGGCTTAATGCAAGGCCAATTGCGAATAGTCTTTTTTAAACTTAAAAATTACAAGGTTATATTGAAGATGAATATAGAAAGCTAACACATAAAGCCAATGTATCTCATTTAATATTTTTTAGCAAAATGACCTTCACTGGCTTCTTCTTGCTGTAGAGTCTCACTACTCTCAACAGCTAAAGCCAAGGGTGCTTCACTGCTCTCCAAAGCCCATACACTTATGGCAAGAGTTAAGCAGAAAATAATGAAGTAGCTGAACAGTAGCACGGAAGCAGAACAATAGCGCAGAAGCAGAACAGCAGCAGCACGAAGAAGAGAAATGCAGCGTGTAGTGGGCGTAATCGAAATCCATAGCAGATCTTTTGGGAATGAACTTGTCCAACTGCCATAATGAATCAAAATTAAACTGATTGAGATGTAAATAATGACATCCAAAACAAATCTCTAATTTATTTTTCAGATTGAACCACCTAAATAATTGATTTAAAATATTGAAGCCCATACACTTATGGCAAGAGTTGAGCAGAACAAAAGGTTCAGCTTCATGACAAAGGAGGAAATAAACCAGAACAACAAGTTTAGCTTCATGATAAATAAGGGCCTTCACAAGGCAAGGCATATAACATTTCAGATTGGAGTACAAAGCCAAGCACATGAACAATAAGTAAGAATCGATAATGCCACTGTCAATTACCAGAAAGTAGCACAATGTTTGCAACAACTTTTTACCAACAACATAGATTTATGTAGTTTTTGATAACAAAGTAGGTTTATGTAGTTTTTGATAACAAAGTAGATTTATGTACCAACAAACATGTAGCTTTTAATAACAGAAGCACAATGCTTCAATTCAGACAAAAAATAAGCATTGAATATCTATAATTGATCATACATCCATCATACCAGTTAAAAATACACGCAACAAATAATATCCAGCCAACTATATCTCATTAATTATGCAATAATATGGAAATTATCAACATACAACCAATTGCATACAACACAAACAAAACCATGAACTTTCAATAAATCAACTAACCCAAAAAAATCACAAGGTTGATTTGCAAGTAATTTTAAAAAAAAAAAAGCTAAACCATGCTCACCCATAAGCAGACATTCCGTGCATAATAGCCAGGAGTCTGGAATGAATCATGTGTATCTTTGTATTCTGCCACATAACCTACAGTAAGTACATGGAAATTATAAAACAAATTGCAACTTGTAGATCATTAATGTGTACCTTTCATGACAGAGTTGAATTTATATGGGTTTTGCTCTTTAATTTCTAGCCTTTTCATACAGACCAGTACATAAAGTTCTAAGACGGAGCCATCTGTGAAAACAAATCGATACATGTCAGAGAAGTCAATAATAATTTTAGGAAGGGAAAGATATTAAGGATGTGAGAGCTTGGCATGCAGCATTGGCCTAATAAACATTAGTTCAAAAGACAACTGTCCAAGACTACTCAATGATCAGTATCCAGCACAGCTACTAAAAGCCTAAACTAGCATATAATATGCAGTACAGAATTAAGTCCTTGAAAGTGCATTCAATTAATGATGCGTGACATATACTAGTCATACAGAGGTCTATCTCACTGGAAAATGCTTAGCAAACTCTATAGCTAGCCAAACTGATTGATTTAAACTCCATAACAGCTCTTCCTCTAGGTTCTCTACCCAACCAAATTTCATACAGATCAACTGCACTGGTACACTATACAAAATGATAAGTTTAAATAATGTGAAACATTAAACACAACTCGCAATTACCAATAACAAGTCATAACCTAACACTGACACAAAGTATGATAAAAATATACCAACTTTCAAGTTTAGTCAAACGATGTTCGACCCGACACTAGAAATTGCTCTCATTCAATTCTGTCAGAACGCTACTGGACATGCATTTCTGCCATGGCTTAACCACAGCATCCTCAAATTCCATAATAAAATCCCCATAACTAGAGATACAAGATGCGTCCTGCAACCCAATTTTAACAATCAAATCAACTACAACATCAAGAACACAACAAAAAGCTTATAGATAACTTAATGAGAACAATGTCCTACAAAATCACCCAAAAATCCAATTAAATACCATAAATAAAGAATTATCAGAAATTAACAAATCCCAAAAGGATATCAACTAAACAATTCAATCAAGCAAAAATCAATAATTCCAATAGAAGCAAAGAAACCAATTTCTGAAAAATTCAAAACTTGAACAGCCCAAATTCAACTCAAAATCACAAATTGAACAAAACCCATCAAAGAAAACCCGAAAAACTAAAAGAACAATCACCTAAACAATCAAATCAGCAAGAAAAAAAAAATTCCAACAAAATCAAAAAACCAAAACACCCCAAATTCACCACAAAATCAAAATTCAAACAAAACCCATTAAAAATCCTCACTTTATTCGATTTAGGGGAAGAATCACCCAATAGAGCATCACCGAAAGGCGAAACAACCTCATCAAATCACCATCGTTGCCACGATAGATAGAAGAAACCAAGGCGAAAACGAGAGAGAAGCTTAAGAGCACAAATCAAAGTCTAAGATCATTAAATATTTCGAATTAAAGGAACTCCAAACAACCAAATTCCAGGAGAAAAAAAAACAGCAAAAAATAACTTTAATTGTCGGAATTGAAGGTTCAGTCTAACGACTTGCCTGACGCGCCTACCACCACCATCTATGTACTCACCCTACATATTAAGCAATTGACCTAAGAAGCGGATTCAGTGAAGAACAGAATGCTCATAAGCCGCTTCAATGGAGAATTCAGAGTACGACTTGGTCGGCTTCAACGGAGCGGAGAGGATTCAGAGGACGATTTCGATCGAGTGTAGCATGAAATTAGGGTTTCGTCCTACTTCAATGAAGTGCAAATCAAATTAGGGTTTCGTTCTTCTTTATTCTTGAGCAAAAATGAAAGAGAGGGCTTAGTAAGTTCAACGACAATGGAGGTGAGGGCTAACTGAAGTTCAGCGACCATGGAGGACGGCTGAGTGGAGTTCAGTGGGGTTTTTGATTTTTAGATGAGAGAGAAGAGAGAGAAAGGGTTATGATGAGAGAGAAGGGTAAAGATGGGTTACGTGAGTAGTTCACAATTATACTTTATTTTATTGTTTTAGCAGCTGGCCTTTCAAGGCCAGTTACTAATAATTTGGTCAAAATTTAGTTGACCTAGTATTTGTATAGGACATATGAATGGCCAGTTGCAAATAAATAATATATTTTAAAAATAATTGATATTAGCAGCGGGCATTGTTATGTCAGTTGCAAATGTTATAGTATTCGCAACTGGCCACATATAGGCCAGTTGCTAATAAAAAAAATTTACTTTTACACTCTAAGTATTAGCAGCGTTCATTACTATGCCAGTTGCTAATAACATAGTATGTGTAACTGACATTATTCTTGCAAGTTACAATTAGTATTTTAGTAGCTAACATATATAACGCTAGTTGCTAATAGGGTGCTGCTAATAGCAATTTTTCAACTAGCTAGCTTTGATTGTACCGAATGACATGTGTACTGTTGACCCTACAGAATTTATTAATATGTTGTGCCCTTGGGGAATGAGCCCCCATGAATTGGTTCTAAGGGAAAATAGTCCGGTTATTTTGTTGAGGACCATACTCCCATCATGTGGTCTGTGCAATGGTACGAGGCTCAAGCAGTGGCGGACCCACGTGTAGTCATAGTGGGTCCGCGGACAACCTATTATTTTCTATAAAAAAAAAAAAAAAAAAAAAAAAAAAAAAAAAAAACTAAGTATCAAGAGTTTTAGCTTGTAGTCTAGTGGTTTTTTCCCCAGCCTACCACATATGAGATATGGGTTCGAATCCCATTACTCACAAACTTTTATTTTATTTTTTTTTTGGCTTTACAACCTCATTTTCACGATTTCACGATTTTAGAAAAATCAGAAGGCAGAAATATCCCCAATTCCCCCAAATTGAAACCCTAAGTCTCAAAATCACCCAATTACGAATTACCCAAATTGAAATCCGCAGGAGCCCCGTCGCCGTTCACCGTATCGCCGGCAGCCCGGCAGCCTTTTCGTGCTTCTCCGTCAAGCGTGAGTGAGGCGTCCATCAAATCGTCAATCCGTCTGTGAGTTTGTTAGCGTCGTGCTCATGCAGACGTGCAGTGGCTCCCCAAATTCGATTTTTTTGAGGTTAGTTTTAAACTTTTAATTTATATAATTACATTGCAATAAGATTATAGAGACTAGATTCTATATTTCTATATGAAATCATCAATTTAAATGTTTAAATCAAAATTATCAGTATGTTTAATATCACTATATCAGTGTATGAGTTTTTTTTTTTTTTTTTTTTTTTTTTGGGTGAAATTTCTTGATTTGATTAGTGCTTGATTATTTGTATGACTTTATTAAAGCTTGAATGTTATGACTTGATTATCGTCACTTGATTAGAGCTTGAATGTTGTGAATTTGTGATTTGTGAATGTGAGTTATGGCCGGATATTTGGCCATTTGATCCCTATTGTAGACTTATAGAATTATTTCTGTTTAATTGATAAATGATAATAGTTGTCAAACTTTCTTATTAGCTATTGAGAATGGTGATTGCTAATTTGGAGATTTGGGGTTGAAGGGTGGACTGAAATTGAGGTTAATGGGCGTTTTTTTTATGATATTATTAGTTTTAATAACCTTGAGAGAACCCTACTTGTATGATTTATCTAATTCAACCTTTAACTTCAATTTCAGAATGAAAAGAAAAATAACTCGAGATATTTCAAGGTTTTTTTACTAAAAAAGTGCCTACTCTAAATCCTCCTCCTACACAAAATGATCCTCCTCCACAAAATGATTTACCCTCTCAAGAAAGTGAACCAAGTACTCCTTTACATCATGCTAGTGAACAACATTCTTCCCCATCTCACAATTTCCCTCAATATGAAAATGGGCAATCTTTTCCCCAAGGTGGTTCGGATCCTAGTGCTCAAATTGGTGAAGGAAGATTAAGTGCACTTGATATTATTAATCTTCCACAAGACCCCGGAAAAAAGAAGAAGGATGTGTGATTTTCATCCCGATGATAGGGATTTACGGCGGAGAACATACATTCAAAGAAAGCCATGTCAACCTAAAGATCATGTGTTTCCTCAAACACTTTTTGGGCTGAATAAAAAACGCCAATTTTGTGTTAAATGGTTTGATACTTGGCCCAACATGGCTTGAGTATAGTGTTGAGAAAGATGCTGCCTTTTGTTTCATTTGCTATCTGTTTAAGGATAATAACACAGCGGGAGTGGATGCTTTTGTTAATGGAGGTTTCAGATATTGGAATAGAAGAGACACAATTGTAAAGCATGTTGGTGGACACAAGAGTGCTCACAATAATGTCGTGATTGCTATGAACTTTTTCATGAATCAAATGAGTAGCATTGCCACCACTTTATCAAAACAAACAGCGGAAACCATGAGTGCCTATCGTAAGAGATTGGAAGCTTCAATTGAAACCATTAGATGGCCATTGTTTCAAGGGTTTCCTTTTCATGGTCATGATGAAAAGGAAAGTTCATTATCTAAAGGTAACTTTCTTTCGTTATTAACTCTTCTTTCAAACCATGATCCTGAGTATTCCAAAGTTGTTTTTAAAATGGCCCCTGGTAATTGTCAACTTACTTCTCCAAGTGTCCAAAAAGATATAATCAATGCTTGTGCTAAAGAAACAACTAAAGCAATATTGGAAGAACTTGATGGTGGATTTTTTGCTATTCTTGCTGATGAATCTGCCGATGTTTCCGATAAGGAACAAATGGCACTTTGTTTGAGATTTGTTAATAAAAAGGGGGAAGCGTGTGAGCGTTTTCTTGGTATTGTGCATGTTCCTGATACTAGTTCTTTGACTCTCAAAGCTGCTATTGAGTCATTACTCATGGAACACTCTTTAACTTTCTCTCAAGTTCGAGGTCAAGGTTATGATGGGGCAAGTAATATGCAAGGTTCAATCAATGGCCTTAAAACTCTAATTTTGAATGAATGTTCTCAAGCATACTTTGTTCATTGCTTTGCTCATCAACTTCAATTGACACAAGTTGCACTTGCTAAGAAAAACTCAGATTGTGGTTGACTTTTTGTTGACGTACTTGCACCTCTCTTGAACTTTGTGGGAGGTTCACCTAAGAGGAAAGAATTTCTTCGAGAAAAACAACGTCAAGGGGTTGTAGAAGCATTATCTTTGGGTGAAATTGAATTGGGAACTGGTTTAAATCAAGAACGTGGCTTATGTAGACCTTGTGATACTCGTTGGGGATCTCACTTTAAAACCATTTTGAATGTGCTTGATTTATATCCTTCAATACTTTTGTCACTTGATTCCATTGCAGAAGTATCCGATACACTTGATTCGAATAAAGCACAATCTATTACACACTTGTTGATGTCATTTGATTTTGTGTTTGTGGCACACTTGATGGTTGATATATTTGGCATTACAAATGCGTTGAATGTGGCATTGCAAAAACATGATCAAGATATTGTAAATGCAATGGTCATGGTTGATGTAACCAAGACTAGTTTGCAAAAGTTGAGAGATGAAGGATGGGATTCACATATGGAAAAAGTCACTTCTTTTATGGCTAAATATGACATTGAGGTTCCAAACATGGAGGGGCGATATGTGGTTCTTGGGAGAAGAATGTATAGAGGTAAAGGTCCACAAGTGACTAATCTTCATCATTTTAGAGTTGAAGTTTTTCTAAGTGTCATTGATCTTCAATTACAAGAACTTGAAAATCGATTTCCCGAGGTAAGTAAGGAATTACTTGTGTGTATGTCTTGCTTTAATCCTGCAAATCGGTTTCATTCTTTTGACAAAAGAAAGTTAGTTCAACTTGCCAAATTTTATCCCGATGAATTTTCAAGCTCTGAGTTATTATTTTTTGAACATTCACTTGAAAATTTCATTGTTGATGTTCGAAATGATGAGAGATTTTGGAATTTGAAAAGTCTAAGTGAACTTTCTACGAAACTTGTTGAGACGGGAAAGTTTGAAACTCATGACCGAGTCTACTTACTTTTGAAGTTAGTGTTGATTCTTCCCGTTACAACGACAAGTGTAGAAAGAGTATTTTCTGGAATGACGCAAGTTAAAGATAAATTGCGTAATAGCATGGGAGATCAAATGTTGAATGATTGTTTGATTACTTATCTAGAAAGAGATTTGTTTTACAATGTTAGCATGGATGATATTGTACATCGTTATCAAAATATGAAAACTCTCGAGAGCAATTGTAATAAAATTAGTACTTTTTTAGTTGTAATATGAATTTGAATTACTTTATGAAATGAAATTTTTTATGTATTTTTTTTTTGTCCATCATTCAAGCTTTGACTATTTTTTGATATTTTATGCGGTCGGTGGACGATGATGGGATGGGACAACCTATTATTTAAATCCTGGATTCGGCACTGGGCTCAAGTGCAAGAGATTCTTTCCATATGTCATTGAGTGTGAGATAACTGGGGGTCATTATAAAGGACGGACTCATTTTATACATAGAGTGAACTTAAGGCCTTCAAGTTCAGTAGGATATCCTTTCAAATTCGAGAGGAAACAATATCTTGTAAAACTAAGTTTAGTAATGTAAGCGTTCACCTTCCAAGGCCATGTTTTTCTCATGGATAACTATATGTTGCCTTATCACGTGCAAAGAAGGCAAGCAAAATAGTTGTTCACATTATGGTTCCTCTACCATCGTATTCTTACAATTACACTAAGAAAGTTGTTTCATACGATGTTCAGTGCTTAGCTGGCATAATCACATGTAACTGATTGCTATGGGGATGTATGGTTTTTCATAAATTCATCTTGCATAATGCTTCCTTATATTGATATCCTTTTGGCAAACTCTGAACAATAAAAGAAGTTGTATAGATTATTTTGTCTGAGATGGTGCAAGTGTTATTTTTAATCACCAATTTTCTTTCTTTGGATATGGAAAACCTTATTTGTTGTTAGCATCATTGTCTTGTACAAGCAATTCCTGTTAGAATTCACCACTGCTTTCTTTAAAATAAAACACACTGTGTTAATGTCTACTTAAGTTCTTAGTTATAGTCCTTCTTTATTTGTGGAACTGATGCGCATAAATTTTTAAAGGTACAGATCCTATTGAACTGATTTATATTATACTCGTGCAAGGTTTAAGTGCTACGATTCTACGAATAATTAATTTCCTTAGTAGAGTATGAAGGACAAAATATACGAGCGGTAGGCTTGTAAGGTCTTGTTTAGTTCAACTTATTTTTACTTATTTCAGAAAAAATTAGTTCAAATCAGATCAGATCAGATCAGAAAAAATAAGTTCAGATCAGAACATCATTTTATGTGCGGTTTTTTATTGCTAAATATTCTTAATTTCGTAATGAAAAAAATTGTGAAAATTACATATTAATAAACTACACATTATTACGAATCTAACAAGATCCCACTTGATACATTTTTGCCTTATAAATTATCGTACACATAAGGTCAAAGTTAGGTCAAATCAGACAATCAGATCAGATTAGACCAGACCTGATCAGTAAAAATAAGGTGAATCAAACAAGGCCTAAGTATGAGGAACAAAATGTAGACTAATTTGGTATGCATTGAGTATGATATCTATTAGAAATTCAAATGATATAAATGATGCTCTTACTTATTCTCAAATGAATACATATACTAAGTCAAAAATTATGTTAATAATTGACATCCATGCAATTGCGTGCGAACATTTCGAACTATAAAAGTTATTTACAGATGCTTAGCATAAACATAAATGACCAGCATAACATTTTATAGATATCAAAGGCTGTGCAATCTTAAAATAAGGGTCACATATCCTTAATTAAGGTTACACAAACAAAAAAATAATAATTTAATTGTCTCCAATATTTAGTTAGAAGGCATAATAATATTTTTGTTATGTGTAGACCAACATGTAGTGAACTGTAACAATGGAATACAGTTAATTTATTTGAACTTAGGTTTGTAGATTAGTTTACTATCAGTACCATTATAACTAATGATATTAGTATAGATTTCCTACAATAAATTATTAATCATCTTAAAATTCTAACAATACCTGTAAAAAATTAAATTAAAATCGACAAAACAATAACACTAATTTCAGACAATAAATAACAATTTAACAACAAACATAGGTTACTAATTCACATTAAAAACCGCAAACACTATAATTTAAAAGTCTTTCAAACTAAACAAAAAAGTCTTTCATTTAGCCTCATTCACCATGTGTATACATTAAATACCGATCTAACGACCACAAAGCACATATTTTATATTTCTCATCGATCTAGCGATCACAAATCACAAATTTTATATTACCTGGCTAATTTCACGAAATTGGGGGGGGGGGGCACGTTGCGGGCGCTACCACAACTAGTAAAGTAAAAAATTAACTATCTAACAATTGTGACCACTAATGTTAATATTATTCTTTTTTTAACAAGTTGGTGTCACACTAACAAGTGGTATAAGTTGGTGTCAACAAATGCAAAACCCCCCAAAATTTGTGTCAATGAGTGTAATTTTGCCCCTTTTTTTGGGTTTGATTTCTTCTAAAATTTTGATTATTGATTGGTTTAGATTATGACTTACTTTTTAGATCTATTTTTTTAAATTCAAATCTGTTTTTGTACTCAAAATTATTGTTGTGACAATATTAGTTTTAATTTATTCTAAATTTTTGTGTTTGGTTTGTTCTTACTTTTAATCTAATTTTACATGTTCTGTTTGTTATTGACTATTGCAGTGATATTGGATGGAGATGGTGAAAAAAAGAATTTGATGTTACTCGTTAAGGGCTTCATCCTGGAAGGCAAATAAAAGTGAATCTGTTGATGAGTTTTCAGGGGAGAAGACAAAAGGTAGGCAAATAAATGACTGGGCTCACAAATTGTATGTGACGAAAGGTAGTGATAAGTCATACGAAGACTTACAAGCATTAGTGGGGAACATTGCAAAACATCTCTGAGATAATTATATGTTGTCTTCTTAAGCTAGAATTTCCGTAACCAAAGAATTGCAATATCATTTTCATTACTTTATTTTTTTAGAACAATATCAATTGCAATTCTTTGGTACACTTGAAACGTAGTATTAATTAAAATTGGTTGGAAGTGATATATTTGATGTACAAGATTTTACGTTTTGATAATTTTATTGTATAAGTATTATGTAAAGTTGCATATACTTGTAAGTATTATATGTATACAAGCTATTTTATTCAATCTAGAATTTAACTTTAGTAATTTAATCTTATAATTTTAGCAATTGTAATGGAGCATAGAAATAAAAATTTTAAAACTAAAAATAAAATTTATCTTATAATGCAGAAAGTAATTTTTAAAAGAAAAAATAAATCAAACAGACCCGTTATTTAATATAATAGCTCTATTTGACTCCGATTAAAGAGACCCCTTATTTAAATAAACGAGTCTTTTTTCCTTTTGATCACTACAAAAAAAAATGAGAATAGGCAACACACAGAATTGCAACAATTTTACAAATGTTGCCTTTTATTACAAAAGGCAACAAAACATGTTTGTTACCTTGATCCTAAACAATGTATAATGCACTACTATGCAACGGTTCAAAAAGTGTTGCTTTAGTTTATGTAAGACAACAATATGTAAAATGTAGCCCATTTTTTTTACATAAGGCATCATTTATTTCCAATGTTGTCCAAAAATATAACAACAATAAAATTGTTTCCTATGCAACAATTTTAAAAACATTGTTTCAAGGTATAAAAGACAATAATTGTTTCATGTGTTTCCATTGCCTTATGTAACTGATTAGAGTCTTATAGGGAAAGTGCAAATGATGTGAATAAGGTATGATATCAAAGAGTCAAGTTTATTGAGAGTATTTGACATCATAATCTCACACGGCAACTTGAACTAGCATAGTGAAGTAGAATCAGTCCAGACTATAGAGATATTTGTAGCTTTCAGAAATGAATTAACACTTTGACCAACAAAAAATAGAACTAATAGTATTACACAAAATTGCAATATATAAGTAATTTATTATCTTATTCATAGGCATACCGACTAAAATGACAGTAATTAGTACATCAATTACTTAAGAGCATGACTATCTTTTTTAAACAAAAAAAAAGCTAAGAGATCACAAAGAAGACTAATTCTAGCATTCTACATTGCTAACAGCTTAAAACTTGCACTTTTTCTTCGTAGTACCCTTCTTTTTAGACATCTTACAACTTCTTCCACTTTCCTGTCAAGAACAAAATCAAGCAATGGCCATCTTCCCTAAAGTGCAAATAGTATGACTGACAATGTTGTGGTGTTTCATTCAATTTCACTGAATTCTAGCAGGAAATAAAGGGAGAATTTTCATGGTACTAAGATATATGACAGCAAAGCTTAAAATATTTAGTAACATGAGCAAAGTGACATATCAGAACAATTTGGTTATACATACCCTTCTATAATGTCTGTAGGCAATTTGACCTATCATGCCTTGTCCATTTTTAGTGGTATACACCTGAAAAAGATTCACATAGCAGAATAAAGAGGTGAGCGCATTGACATTAATCACAATCAGAATAATTGGAGATAATGTTATAAATTTTTCTTTTTTGGTAAATAGTAAATTTTATTACCAAAAGGAGCTGCAAAGCAGCAAAAAGAGAATACAAATAGCCCTCAGGCCTAAGCTTCAAAACACCAAAAGCCCCTAAGGGCACACAAACTCCAGCCAAAGCCCAAGGCCTAAAGGCCACCTTCTAGGAAGGGTTCCTAAGAACCTTGAACCAAACACGACCCTTTTGAACTCAATGGAAACAAGCTACCCTCTAGGAGGATTATCCGAAGCCAAACGAACATGACAAAAAGCAAGCTACCAACAAGGACTACAAAGAAAACAGGCAGCAACAAAGCAACAAAAAAACAACTACAACGATTACAAACTTTGAGAAGTCAAGAAAAACAACAAAAAAAAAATAAACCAAAACCAGCAACTGTACAGCAGTAGCAGAAACCAGCACAACACCAAGCTGACTCTACAACACCCAGCCTAGCAGAACAACAGCAACAACCATCGCACAACACCAGACAGCAACAAACAATCAGGAGATAGCTAACATGCTTTGCCAAACCTGGGCTTCAGAAATCAGCACAGACAGAACAACAGCAGAAAACAGACAACAAACTGCAACAGACTGGCAAGACAGAACAGGAATAAGAACTTAAGCTTCAGGGGTCTACATAACCAAAACAACAGCAGCAAAAGCCAGACACCAGAACAGGAGCAGACAGGAAAAAACAGAAGCCTGCACCAGTTGACAGAGCAGACAACAAACCAACAGTACACAGCACTAGCATGTATAAGCAACAGGCAACATGCACACCAATGATCATCTTGCTTGATAATTTCCAAGGGGGATTACCACGACATTCCTGAAAATAGCTTGGTTCCTTCAAACCAAATACTCTAGAAACTTATCAATCTCACTTACAAATAACAACAATAAAAGAAATAATAATTCCCCTAATCAAACGATGTAGCATCAAGCTGAAAACAATCACACCCAAAACATCATCACAATCTTATCTGTCAAATCCAATTTCAGAATTATTAGAACTAAAATTTTAGACTGATCTCGTAAGTTGTAACTGTACGTAATAAGTGTAATGAGCAAGAAATATAGCGAAATCAATAGAGAAACTCACATCTCTTTCCCCCAATTGCCTACAAAACAAAGCCAACCTCAGTCCTTATCCTCTCTCTTCATCTATTTAAGTCGTAAACTCGTAATATAATTTATGGTTCTGCTAAACATAGTCTTGGTCATAAAAGAGTATTGTGAGCTTTATAACAGGGCTAACAGTGCAAGTCTGTAAGGTTTTTCCATAATTATTCTGGCGGCTTGCTACTGCCTGCTAGTTGCTGGCTACTGCTAACGGCTAGCGACTGCCTGCTAGAGCAAAGATGAAGGCGATGGTGAAACTCCCCATTATAGAAGCACGAGCCCCGAACATCAGAACTGTTGTGACAGTATCTGACTGATGGTTTACAAGAGGAAGTAGGAATATCGCACTAGCAACAAACATAATCGCCATTGAGTACTTCCGACCAATCCGATCAATTAAGATGACAACGATAAAGAGTCCAGGGAGTTCTTCATAAATTACAAATATATCAGTTCAGTATGAAACAAAAATGTATGAAGAAAAAAAAATCAAAAGTAGAAAAACATACCAGCAAAACTAGTGATGAACACATCTCTGTAATCAATATCAGGCTTAGTATTCTCTTTCTTATGAACAATATGAGAATCACAAGTATTATCCTTGGTGATCACCTGAGTTGTGAGCAACACGATACCATAGTACGCGAATGCATTACCAAAGAAAACGACCCAAAGGAGCAAAGTGGTGGGAGCTAGCTTCCTCGAAAGAAGTACTTTACAAGATCGAATGACAGACATATCAATATCCTCATACTTAGAAGCTACTGCATCACCTTCTTCTCCTGAAACCACTTTTGTAGGATTATTCATCTCTTCTTGCTCCATATTAGTTACAAGTGCACTGGGAGGCAATTCTTTGCCATTTATTTTGGCCATTTTCTACGAATGATGGTAGAACAGATAATCCTAACTGCCATCTCCATCCCAATTTTGGCATTATAATCTGCCAAAAATCAGCACCATATTTAGTGATTGATACAAGTATTTGTTATAATTGCAAGATATTAGCTAAGGCTTGGATTATTCCATGTGATTTATTAGAATAATTGAAGATATAAAAGTTGGGTGAGAATTAGCATTGTAAATGATATTGCCTATGATTGGAATTATACAAGAAACTGAAAAAAGAAATAAAGTGAATAACTAAACATTAATTACACTGATCTATGCGTGATTTGTCCTAATTTCCCAAATTTACACTCCGTACTCAAATGTGATCTATGCGTGATTTTGTCCTGGTTTCCAAAATTTACACTCGCATACTCAAATGTGATTTATGCTTGATTTTGCTGGTTTACCAAAATCTCTTCTACCATTTTAGAAAATGTATTTAACCTTATATGCAGCTATTACCTATGTCATATGGAAGCGACTAAAATTGTGATATCATAGAGAGTAAGAAACATTGATCATAGGGGAAACTAACATACCCACGCCAAAGCAACCTCAATAATAAAACCAATGGTCCAAAAGGCTTGGAAAAGGACCATCCAAGTACCCCTGCTTGGTGTAGGTACAAACTCTAGAAACCAAGTGAGTAAAACTAGAATAGCACCTAATCCCATGCCCACCAAACATCGAGCTACGAGTGTAGGGTTTCGTAGTGACCCGACACTACGCGGAAGGAAACCCCCCAAGACCCGCCCCTTAATTAAAGAAATTAACAAGCATAATAAACTTAATCAAACAAGACTAAGAACAAGAATTATACCTTTGTTGCGTGCTTCGCTCCCGAAGAGCTCTTACTTCAAAATCCCGAAACTACGAGATCTCCGACGGATCGTACCCTCGACCCGACCCGAGCGTCCCAAGTCTTGAAGGTTAGTCAAGACCCGAACAAAACAAAACTATGAGTTTTACGAATCAAAGGTTTACTCTAAGAGTTGCCTTTTTAATTCCACTCAAGGTTGTGTATTTCCCAATACCATGCCTTTGGTATTTATAGGGAAATGCACCCTTGAACTTCATTCCCCAACCAATGTGGGATAATGAATAATTTGATAATTAATTTATTTCTAAAATAAATTAATAATTAAATTCAATCACAATGCAACAAGTGTCAAGGGGAGAGAGAAGGTTAGGTGAGGACCATGAAGAGGTAGGGGGGGACCATTGCGTTGCTCCCCAAGGCTTTGCCCAAGCCTTGGTCCCCACCCCTCATAAAACCGCCTTAAGCATAGGCTGCTGGGCTGCTTCCAGCTAGCACGCCAGCTAGTAGTGCCAGCTAGCCCAACCAGCCAGCACTAGCCCACCCACCAGCCTTCGCATCCCAGCCAGGCAATGCATGCTTGGTGTTGGGCGATGCTTAGCGCTGGTGCGTGCCAGTGCTAAGCGCTGGTGCGTGCTGGCGCTGGTGCTGACCCTCGCCTCTCTCGCACATGCTCGCATAGCCAGCATGCGTGCTACTAGCGAGCCACGCATGCTGGCCCCTTGCCTCGCCAGCCATACGCACCACCCTCGCACATGCACTCGCTTCCCTCGCTGCACCTCTCGCACACGCACATGCACTAGCATCTCACGCACACCCACGCATCCCCTAGCACACTAGGTGCGTAGCGATGCTGGGCTGCTGTGCGTGGCCTAGCAATGTGCTGGCGCCCAGGCCCTCGCACATGTATGGTGTGCTGCTTGGTGCTTCCATGCGAAGGCTAGCACGCAAGCCTGCACGCATGCTGCGCCAATGCTAGGCAAGCACCCATGCTAGTACTTGGTGCTAGCGATGGTGCTGCCATGCTAGGCACACACGCACGCCAGCACCTAGTGCCAGCGATGGTGCGTCTGGTGCTTGCGACAGGCTGCCAAGTGCTCCTGGTGCGCCTAGTGCTTGCGATAGGTCAGCGATGGTGAGCCTAGGCTGCGATGGTACGCCTAACACACCTAGTATGCTTAGGCTTACGCCTAGCCTTGCTAGGTGCATGCTAGCTCGAATTAGCCTAGCATCCACATGGTTAGACCATTGTGGTGTTACGGCTACACTCGTACTTGTCGCTTGTGATTTTGCGACGCTCGGCCTTGACGCCCTAGGCTCGATATCCGACATCTGTATTCGTAAAACTCTGTCAACTCATTAAATCCTTTTGGATTAATTCGTCGTCTCGGATCGGTGATTCGATTGGGTTCGACCCGAAGGGTTCAGTTAAGATTAAGCTGTAATATCAATTGTACCTCGATATTATTGATTAGACGTGGCCTCCACCTAGGCATTCCGATCACTTGATCTTACTGAAGAATTAACTCTGTAATAATTCTAAACCCTCTATCGGAAGAATATACTTGTTGGAAGGACACCATTCCTTTCAATCTCCCACTTGTTCTTCTGGACAAGTGTGCATACAGTGTATAGCCCATTTCCTATGTCTCTTAATGTTTCTTCGTGAACTATAAGGTAAGATTCATCGTCATCCTTATTACGTTCAGAAGTGTTTCTCGATCTCCGAGTTCGACTGTCAATAAGCAGATGATTTCTAAAATCCATCTGAGCACGGCCATGCATTTTCACAGTCTCGCTCTTCGAGCGGCCTTGTAAACAGCAAAACATTTTCCCTATTGTTAATAGGGGGAAAATCCCGGTCTTGCATTGTAAGTTCCTCTTACTAAGAGGACTTAGTCTCCCGAGTGTTCCCGTTATGATCCCCAATTACGGCAGACGTTAGGAAACATCAAAGAGTCTAATACTCAAACAAGAAAACTTCACAATACTCATGGTCGGAGGAAACAGGTTCCGATAGTCATAATGAGAAATGTACTTATGACAATTTTTAAATTTCTTAAAGTACTCTCATAGGTCTTATCCAGTACGGTTCCAAACTGTACCTGTGCCAATGATTTATGACTGTCACGTCCTCGCAGCACAAGAAACGGTGCTGTAAATCATACTACATACTAATCTGAGGCGGTCATCAATTGTCAATCCGTTAGATGACCTCGATTAGGGATAATTTTCGATTTTAAATATTCAATGTTCACTTAACATGTGTTTCTTTATCTAAGACATGGTCTTGATACCCTGTTTTGAATATTTCCGTAAATCGAATGGACTCATTATTTAATTCTAAACCACAATTAAATAGTAATGGAGTGAATGATAATTTTGCACAAAGATTAATTACTCCATTAATGAATGGTTTCAATACAGTGTCTTACATTAAATCAACCAGTTTAATTAAACCACATGTACAGGGAATTTCAAAGACAATCTCCAACATGCTTGATTCCCATCGCCTCAATGTGTTTGTTGTGTTTCACCTGAGGCAGCAGTTTAGTCAAAGGATCGGCCACATTATCATCTGTGCCAATCTTACAAATTCTGATTTCACCTTCGGATTTCCATTCCCTTATCATGTGAAATCGCCTTTGCACGTGTTTGACCTTCTGGTGTTCTCTTGGCTCCCTGGCCTGAGCGATAGCTCCATTGTTATCACAATAAAGGTCTATCGGTCCCTTCATTGAGGGTACAACACCAAGTTCACTGATGAACTTGCGAATCCAAACAGCTTCTTTGGCAGCTTCTGAAGCGGCCAAGTACTCGGCTTTAGTTGTAGAGTCTGTAGTGGTGCTCTGCTTGGCATTCTTCCAGCTAAACGCTCCTCCATTTAGGCAAATATGTACCCTGACTGTGACTTGAAGTCGTCTCTATCAGTCTGGAAGCTAGCGTCGGTGTAACCTTCAACAACTAGTTCTTTGTGGCCTCCATACACCAGGAATTTATCCTTGTTCCTTTTCAGGTTCTTTAGGATATTCTTAGCCGCAGTCCAATGCGCCTCTCCTGGGTTCGATTGGTATCGGCTCGTTGCACTCAGGGCATACGATACATCTGTCCTTGTACATATCAAAGCATACATGATCGATCCGATCAGCAAAGCATATGGGATCTGATTCATTCTTTCTCGCTCAACAGGTGTCTGTGGACACTGTTTCTTGCTGAGAGTTATGCCATGGGACATGGGTAAATGCCCTCTTTTGGCATTCTCCATGTTGAATCGAGCCAGTACCTTATCAATGTAAGTACTCTGGCTTAATCCAATCATCCTTTTAGATCTATCTCTGTAGATCTTGATGCCCAATATGTACTGTGCCTCTCCGAAGTCCTTCATTGAAAAGCAATTTCCCAACCAGCCCTTTACGGACTTTAGTAATTTTGTTCTGTTTCCAATGAGAAGTATGTCATCAACATACAGGACTAGGAATGCAATATCACTCCCATTGACCTTCTTGCATACACAAGATTCATCTGGATTCTTGATAAAACCAAAATTGCTAATGGCTTTATCAAATCACATATTCCAACTTCTGCTGGCTTGTTTCAGTCCATAAATGGACTTCTTCAGCTTGCAAACCTTTCTAGCATTGCTTGGATCGAAAAAACCTTCTGGTTGTGTCATATACACAGTTTCTTCCAAAATTCCATTTAGGAAGGTGGTTTTGACATCCATCTGCCATATTTCATAATCGTAATATGCAGCAATCGCTAGGATGATCCGGACGGATTTTAGCATTGCAACTGGTGAAAAAGTTTCATCATAGTCAAGCCCGTGGATTTGTCTATAGCCTTTTGTCACCAGTCTAGCTTTGTATATTGATACATTTCCATCCTTGTCTGTCTTCACTTTGAAGATCCATTTGCAACCAATGGGTGTATAACCCTCGGGCAAATTTACCAAGTCCCAGACTTGATTTTCAGACATGGAGTCCATCTCGGATCTCATGGCCTCTTGCCATTTTGCAGAGTCGGGGCTCGTCATAGCTTGTTTGTATGTCGCTGGCTCATCACCATCCATGACTAGGATGTCCTAATCTTCGGTTAATACGATACTGAGGTATCTGTCTGGTTGAGATCTTTGCCGTTGCGACCTACGAAGGGTAATCGGTTGAGCATTTTCATTGTTAGTTTGATTCTGACCAATCTTCTTAGATGCTTCTAAAGCATCTAGATTGTCAGTTTTATTAGGTTGACATTGTTGCTCGTCCTCTCGAACTTCGTCGAGTTTGATTTTCCTCCCACTTGTCATTTTGGAAAGGTGATCCTTCTTTAAAAAGACACCATCACGAGCAACAAAAACTTTGTTCTCGGACTTATTGTAGAAGTAATACCCTTTGGTTTCTTTTGGATATCCCACAAAGAAACACTTATCCGATTTGGGGTGAAGTTTGTCCGAAATTAATCGCTTGACATATGCTTCGCATCCCCAAATCTTGAGAAAAGACAACCTAGGAGGTTCCTTAGTCCATAATTCATATGGAGTCTTTTCAATAGCTTTTGACGAAGCTCTATTCAGTGTTAGTGTTGCAGTTTGTAGCGCATGTCCCCAGAAAGAGATAGGGAGTTCACTAAGACCCATCATTGATCGAACCATGTCTAACAAGGTTCGATTCCTCCGTTTGGACACTCCGTTCCATTGAGGAGTTCCGGGAGGTGTCAACTCTGAAAGAATACCATTTTCTTTCAAGTGATAGTTGAATTCATGGCTCAAATATTCGCCACCTTGATCCGATCGAAGTGCTTTCATTTTCTTGCCAAGTTGATTTTCAACTTCTTTCTGAAATTCTTTGAATTTCTCAAAGGATTCAGATTTATTCGACATTAAG